TCTGCCAGAATCTCTATGTGACAATTGAAATTGATTAAGATGTACAGTAAAAAAATATGCAAGAAAACAATAATAAGCCTACACAAAACGAAACAAGACTGCTCGCATTAGGGCGAAGCCCTAAGTGTTCCGACTGTCTTTTAAGGTTTATGGAGCGGTAATAACATTTAAAAAATAAATGTAATTAGATAAAATGAATTTTTTTCTTCTAAAATTTGAGATTTTTTTGTGAACATAATCCCCCTCACACGCCATATAAAGTACGAAAGCATCGATTTTGCTCCTTGTAACAATTCAATAATGGCAAATAAGCTTCTTTCAACCAATTTGGAACGATTTCTAAGATGATTAAATCTCCGCTCACTCGTTAATATCGCAAAATATATCGCGCGTTAATTGTCCCGAATTGGCCAAAATGGAAACCTTTAAACCCCATAATTTTACGAAAAATTATCACAAGTGAAATATCTTTTTAAGTTTAAACTCAGGGCAACAATACTTTTGGAATGATGCAAATAAACTCCGTCAAAAAAATCTAAATTTGTCCGAATAAAAAACCCACCCCAAGCACAAATAATCAGTTACTTTCGTTACGAAAGTCGGAACCACAAGACTGCTCGTTTCAAGGCGAAACCCTGAATGGTCCGATTGCCTTTTAAGGTATACGGAGCAGTAATAACTTGAAAAGTTTAAATGTAAAAAAAAAAAGTTTCAAAAAAATTTTGAGACTTTTTTGTGAAAACATCACGCCACACGCCCTATTAAGTACAAACTTATAGATTTTTCTCCTATTAACAAATCAATTATGGCAAAAAAGATTCTTTCATCCAATTTGGAATGATTTCTAAGGCGACTAAATCTCGCTTACGCGTTAATAGTGCGAAACATATCATGGCAATCTTTAAACCCCCATAACTTTATAAAAAATGATCACTGGTGAATTATCTTATCAAAATGTAAGATTTTGAGTCGTACAAATATACTGCAACCAATTAGTTGGCTTCATTTTAATTAGGAACGATTTTGTTGAGCGGGGTCATTCGCCATGCATTCGCGTAAAGCTCTCAGCAATATGAACAAATTCTTCAAAGCGCGCTTAATTTAGTCCAGAACACGGCCAATTTGTTAGTTTTCAAACCACTAAATCTTCACAAAAAATAGTCGGAGGTAAAAAAATTTTTTAAATATGATCTTAGGAGGTCGATATTTTCAATGGGTATAAAAAAGTTTTGTCGAAAACTATTATTTCGATTGGCGAAAATTGACTGAACAAAAAAAATCGAGCATGAATATTTCATTTTTTTAAAAAGCCGAAACAACAAGACTTCTCGCATTGCAGAGCAAAACTTGAACTTTCCGATTGCACTTTAAAACCAATTTGAAAATTTTGCTAGAAAAATTTATATTTAAAATAGAGAAGCTTATTTCATTTTTTTCTTTTTATCCACACGCTGTGTAGAACCCAAAGTATGCGTTAGCGTCTCGCATTTTATTAATAAGGCTTAGTAAGACTGGCCTCATCAGGGTGGAAGCAGGGAAAACTCCGACTGCCTTTTGAGGTCTATGAAGTAGTGTTTACTAATAAAAAGAAAATGAGGAAAACTTTTAAATTTCTTAAAGGTTTTTTTTTTGATAAACTTTCCCCCAAACAAATCCAAAAACAATACTTGAAACTGGTTCTTCTTTGTCTATTTTTGAATTTCATTTTATCATTTCAAATGAACACTTACTACATAGACCTTGCTTCGCCCTGACACCAACAGTTTGGTCTTTTTTGTATTACAAGTTTTCTTATTTTGGTTACCAGATAGACTTGTAGGTACTTGTTATATACGTTTCTGCAGTTACTCGGTCTTGTATTTTTTGTATTGCCTTTTTTTGATTTTGGTTAAAAGATAGAATTGTAGGTACTTTCTATATACGTTTCTGCAGTTTTTGATACGGTTGACTTTCAATTGTTCTCAAGTATTCGAAAAGGAGTACCTCAAGGATCCGTTGATAAAACAAACTTGGTGAAAGTATGGTAGTTGGATGCCAAAAACTTTAGATGGTTTCTAAAAAAAATATCCAGGCCTTGAAATTTTCCAAAACATGGTTTGCTATGGTATTCTTTTGTCCTCGTGAGCTTTTTCATACTTCCTTTTTTGGGACCCACTTATCATACTTAAACCGCAATTTTTTTCATCTTTCAATTGTATCCACTTTTTGAATACCTTACCGCAAACTAACGATTCACAATTAGTTTTGGAGATTAACCGGATGCAACATTAGCACATGCTGCGCACTATTAAAAATCTTTTCTCTGAGATGCAGCTATGTCTTCCGGTGGATGAATAAAATTTTGCTTTTTGGCTGACAACTTCATGAATCATTCTCAAATTCTATCCCTTACGACACAACACGAGCATAAGAAACCTAAGTTACGAAAAATGAAAAAAAAACTCGGAAAAACTAGGTCTATTAAAATTTTTGTATGTTTCTATTCCAGTACATTCTAACCAAGAGTGCCAAGCAAAACATGCGAGTTAAAAAAATAGCAATCGCATAAATTTTACCATACGTAGGATACGGAAACAAAGCCGACAACCTCTGAGCAGACACCAGTTGAGCCAAAAAAATTGATGTTGATTAAAACGTTTTAAGCTCCTCTTCCTGATATTCCTGGAGTCGAACCTCAGACATAAGGATGCAAATGCAAAAGCGTAACCCCTAGGCCAAATGGGAAAGAATCCATAAGTTATTGAGATGCAATAACAAAGCAACTAAGAAAAGTAAGTAAGATTTGTAAGAAAAACTGTTTTGGGAAAAATTCTACTTACGTTACATGACGCTTGCTCTCGCAAGTATAATTAAACGTTTTCATAAACAAGTTTCCAAAATTTTTCCCAAGTTTTCATTCAGCTTCTGGGTTAATAAACAGACTACAATGTCTTCTGACAAATGAACTGAATCTTGCTGCTATTGAAGTTATCTAAGAATACGTAATTTCTCTGATCTAAAAACTGCCATTCGCTCTTTGCTACCAGCCTAATAAAAGTTTAGAACAAGCTGTTTTATATTAACCGTGGTGCTTGACTGAGCTTGTGCATTTTCTTTGTTCAATATATGTCATTCTTTTGCGATGAAAACTGTTATATACTTGACCAAAATCGAATAAAAATTTTATGAGGAAAAAACTTCCTACAAAGAGCGGTTGCCTTGAACTAACTGCCTGATTTTCTAAAACAAACCTTGAAGATTGTGTTACTCTAAGAGGCGTTGCGAGACTTTTGCCACTCTTGAATTTGAGAACAGTGGCAAAGGGTGGCTAACAATTATGTAACAATTTTTTTTAAGAATTGAATTTTTAAGTTGTGTTTTTAATGGTATCATAGTCATATTTATCTGCAGCTTCAGCGATTCATCATGGTTCTTCTATTCGCCTGGATGATTACGTTTTTCTCAATGTCAATTAAAATATCAAAAGAGTGTACCTTTTTGAAAAACTATACTGAAAAGCTTATATACCTAGCGTTATCTCTTTGGAAAAACTGAATGTCCTAACTAAAAAAATGTGAAAAAACAAATTTTTCACCGAGTTTGCTCAAAATGAAACTAATTGTGCTATGCAAGAACACGATTAGATTGCTCCGGGTCTTTGTTTTAAGACCGAGGATAAAATTAAAACAAAATAATTGATATTCTGCCTTGATACGCTTTATTGAGTTTTCAATTTTACAGTACGTTTGAAAAAATGACAGCCTTTTTTATTCGTTATGCAAAGAAAAGTAAAAAAAACTTAGCTTTTTGTTTTTATTCTATTTCCTATGCAATTCATTAGAAACAAAAAGAGTCTGAATCTTGCTGCCTGATCCATTGCTCCAACTTTTTAAAGAAGAATCGGGATTTTTGAAAACTGGCATGTTCGAGATAACTACTGATTTTTTTTAAATTTTCTAACAGCGTGCAGCACAGGCGGCAAACTATTTTGTCCTGAAAAAAAGAACTGAAAAATATTGATGCAATTCGTGCAAACTTTAAAACAATGTTGCACCTGCGATCATTAGTACAAAGTAATGAGAGTTTGGGAGTTGCTATTTTGGCCACATTGAATAATTAATTCGCGCAAATTTTCAACGTTTTTCATTTATGAGGAAAAAATGGCACCAAAATCATCTGATTCCAAAACTGTTCCAAATTGAATTCAGGCAAACTTAACGTTTCAAATGAAGCGCTGGTACGCGTATCATAAATCAATTTACAAATGCCATTGAGTTTGAGAACATCAAAAAAATTCTGACTGCTAAAGGGCAGTCAGAATATTCAGGGCTTCACTCTGAGAGATGCTGTTTCTTGTTTAATTAGTTAATCAGCGGAGCTTGTGTTATTGCACGGGGCATTTTTAAAGTGTCAATGAACGGGCGTTATTTTCCCTTATTCAGGTCGAGTGGTTTTTTCACGAAATTAACCTGCAATTTTTTCATGCTTAAATTTATATTTTGGCAATTTTTCTTTCGATTTTGTTTTTCATTTACTTCTTTATTTTTATTTTTCTCAAGAAGATAAAATATACTCTTCAAAAACAGAACAAACCGCCTACTGGCTGTCGGGCACAAGTGTTTGCACGTAGCAAATAAACAGGAGTCTAGACAGCGAAACTCTATGATTCTGTAACTACCTATTTGTTCTTTTTTGTCTAGGATTTTGAGCCATGAGTTTGATATCATGAGTTTGATATCATTTGAGCCATGAGTTTGAACCATGAGTTTGCACGGCGTTTTAATTTTGACGAGGCTCTCAGAGGATCATTTTTCGAAATCCGCCGCGGAAACAATAATTTTCGGGCCTGAAAAATCACACAAAGGTTAGATGATATCGTATAAAACCTGCGCACGAAAGCAGTAAGCCGTCAAGAGCAGAACAGCTCGTACGGTGGTTCCCTCTTTCCTGAATAAATTTGTTTAACTTTATTTTTTGACATAGGCTGATGGCTTGATTTGAATTCTTTTTGTTCTCTGTAGATTATCCAGAAAGAGAATGGACTCCAATCTACGAAGAGCTATCCTCAGAGTACTCTCCCAATGCAAATGACCTGCAAAGTTCCAAGTGGGAGGAGGGTCTGCACTCCAACACGAAGAGAATCCTCAGTTTCAACACCAGAAACTACAACCCAATGGGCAGAGGGGGCAATAAGCGAGAGCGGGAGATATCAGAGGGGGGCCTTAACAAGCGCATGATCAACTTCCGGACCCGCTCTTGGGAGAGACCGACCAAACGAGAGGTGACCATGGGTGAACCCGAGTCAAAACGACTCATGAACTTCAACACCAATAAGCGACTCATGAACTTCAACACCAACAAAAGGCTCATGAATTTCGACACCAACAAAAGGCTCATGAGTTTCAACACTGCTAAACGACCCATGAGTTTTGTCACCGGGAAACGACTCATGAACTTCAACACTAACAAGAGGCCCATGAATTTTGCTACCGACAAGCGACCAATGAATTTCATCACCAATTAAAGACAGTCGAGTTAACTCACAAAAAGTTATTCAATGATTTGCATTGGTTTGTGCTGAAAATTAGAGAATTCATTTCATGTACGAAAAAATCATGTTATTTTTAACATTCGATTGATAGAAATAAAGTGATCTATTAGCTCATTTTAATTTTTTAAAATGAATTAACAAAAACTGTTGGAGTGATTAGGAAAAAAGCGTATATAGGGGCCAAGTAGATCACCACTATTCCGTTTTTCACCGAGTGTGGTCCTAATTCACTATATAAAATTCACTATATAGAATTTTGACTCACTACAGGTGAATACATGAGTTTTGCGAAAAAAATGGTTATCTCGAGGATAAACTATTTGAAATCCGAATCATTACGACTGAAAGAGCTTCGAAACTATATTGAACTTGATCCCCTATGCCATAGTTCCTAGCCTCATTACCAACTGAAGGGACCAATAACCAATGAAGGTGGCAAAGAAACAAAAAAAAATGTTAATCTACTAAATCTGCGCTACTCTTTTTCAAAACTTATACAAGACTGCTCGTATCAGGGCGAAGCCCTGAATGTTCCGACTGCCTTTTAGGGTTTATTGAGCAGCAGTAATACATCAAAAAAATTAAATGTAATAAAATAAAATGAAATTTTTTTTCTCTTAAAATTTGAAATTTTTTATGAAAATCATCCCCCCACACGCCATATAAAGTACAAAAAGATAGATTTCGTTCCTTGTAACAAATCAATTATGGCAAATAAGCTTCGTTCAACCAATTTGGAACGATTTATAAGATGGATTAAATCTCCGCTTACGCGTTAATAGCGCGAATTATATCGCGCGTTAATTGTCCCAAATTGGTCAAAATGGCCAAAATGGCAATCTTTAAACCCTCATAATTTTACGAAAAATGATCACAGGTGAAATATCTTTTCAAATTTAAGCTCAGGACAACAATACCTTTTGAATGATATAAAAAAATTCCGTCAAAAATGGCTAGTTAAAAAGTCGAAATTTGTCTGAAGAAAAAAAAAACCCACCCCGAGCACAAATATTCCGTTACTTTCGTATCGAAAGTCAGAACAATAAGCATCCTTGGCACTAGGCATAAGGATGAGATTACAGTGAACTATTAACGTTTGAATGTTTTTGGGAAGAAATAAAAGCAAAAATGAAAAGTTCTTAAGCAAATATATATTTTTTCATTTTCTTCATTGTTCATTTTTTTAAATTAGAACGGTCAATTGTCCAAGCGTAGACAACATATGTCCAGAGCAAATATAAAAGAAATATCAAAACTCGTTTTGTTATCTACGCTGTTTAAAAAATGAACATTATCACTCTAAAATTTCCAACAAAACATTTAACATCGAACGCAGTTCTAGTACTGTTATTGATATTATCGATTTTCTTTATTTACCATTTGACCCGACATGACATAGATGAACCTAATTTTGATCCCGTTGAACCACATAAATCACAAGACTCTTTCGAAACTGACAAAAATCTGGATCTAATTTTGGCAAATGGACTGAAAAAGTCTGTAGATACTGATCCTTCTGGAACGACCATTAGACATCCTACTAAAATTGTAATCCAAGGGTTCAAAACCAACTTTGCCCAGGCCCTCTTTCCACACCTGTTCGACCCTGGATTCGAGAAGACGTTTTTTCTGTTTGACATGGCAAACTCTGAGGATGTGAAAAAATTCTACCCGCATGGCTTTACAGGATCGGATATGATTGCAAAGCTGGACGCCATTTCCAAGTGCAACTTCTCAAAAGATACCATGAAATTACTGATGGTAAGTTTTTCAATACGGCTGAGCAAACTGGAATCGGTTTCGCTGGATGAACTACAATACTGGCTTCCTTTTTCTAATCCCCTTTTCATTTTCTCACACGTTTAACTTACGAACGTTTATTTACTAAAGTGGACAGATTTGAAGAAAGTTTCATACGTTCAAATTGCCGCATAGTAAAGTTTGCACACGATTTTCATATACAATTTTACAAGAGGGAGGAAAACTGGAAAAAGCCCAATACATGATGACTCGTATCATGTAACTAGTTTTCTCTAATCTTCTATAGTAGTTGATCTTCTGGTGCATGGTAAAAGCACAAGTCCAAAGTAACCCCTATTCTTCGGTGGCGGAGAATTAAAAAGATAAAAACCAAAAAACAAACAAGACTGCTCGTATCAGGGCGAAGCCCTGAATGTTCCGACCGCCTTTTAAGGTTTATGGAGCAGCAGTATAAGATAAAAAAATTAATTAAAATAAAATAAAATGAAAAAATTTTTTTTCTAAAATTTGAAATTTTTTATGAAAATCATCACCCCACACGCCATATAAAGTGCAAAAAGAGAGATTTCGTTCCTTGTAACAAATAAATTATGACAAATAAGCTTCGTTCAACCAATTTGGAACGATTTATAAGATGGATTAAATCTCCGCTTACGCGTTAATAGCGCGAATTATATCGCGCGTTAATTGTCCCAAATTGGTCAAAATGGCCAAAATGGCAATCTTTAAACCCTCATAATTTTACGAAAAATGATCACAGGTGAAATATTTTTTCAATTTTAAGCTCAGGACAACAATACCTTTTGAATGATAAAAAAAAATTCCGTCAAAATGGCTAGTTAAAAAGTCGAAATTTGTCTGAAGAAAAAAAAACCCACCCCGAGCACAAATATTCCGTTACTTTCGTATCGAAAGTCGGAACAATAATTGCAGCATTCTCTTTATCTAGAAAATGGCAAGCAAATGTCAAAGTAATTCCCAAAAAGTCATGTAAAATGCAGAAGACTCAAAACTTTGTCAGAAACCATCGAAATCAGACAAAAAGTTTTTTTTTGCACAAATGGACAAAAAAGAAAAAAGTTGTTGCAAAAGCTAAAAAACAACAAAACACTATGTAAAATTTTTCTGCCAGACAACTGAAAAGTTTTCAAAAAATCATGGAGCTCGAGCTGCAACTAAAACAGCTTTTGTTAAGATGAATCACTAGATCCATCTGATCTATGATTGAAGTGTCCGGCTTTGCATGAAAAAGAGCAAACTGAATCCAAATTTAATCCTCAGCTCTCCAAGTCTGAATACAAATTGACAATTGCCAAAAAAAGACAAGGAGAGAAGACGGTTGTTATGCAAGAACCACACAAATTTTTGACCACTTTCTTAAAAAACTACAACATAAAATGTTTTTTTTTTTTCAAATTGGCGGTGTGATAAAAGTTTCAGAAGAAAACCAAAAACTACGGCATAGTCGACAGTAACAGTAAAACAAGCAAAATGGGAAGCCATTTTTTGTTGATAATTGACAAAAAAGCAAACAGCAATCATATATAAACTAAAAACGTTAAATAAATTTTTTTAGTTTTATTGCAGGATTTTTTTTTAATTTTGGTGTTTTTCCCAGATGGCGCTGAAAACACCATTTTTTTTTCAATTGGAATAAAACTTAACTGTCAAGGCTCATCTTTCTATAAAAAACCTGCTCGCTCGTTCTAGTCGCTCGAAATTAAGCTGAAAATCAAGTTTTTTAAAACAGTTTTTCTCGACATTGGGACATCTTTTTGAAAACTTATTTCAGGTCGTTCGAATCACGACTGAAACGCTTTTAACATGGTATATCTTTCCATCCAGTCCGATGATTGTTTATTGCACGTAACTTTGCATGAAAAATAAACAAAAAAAAGCAACAAGGAAAGCTGGTTGCTGTGCAAGTAGCACAGAATGTTCCAAACATTTTCATAAAAAAAACATATAAAAAAGTTTTCTGTACTTTTATTTACATTAGTGCCGTTTTCTGTTTATCGTGTGATAGAAAAAACTATACAAATGAGTGAAAAGCTAGCCAATTAGGCTTAGTTGAGAACAATTGGCTCAAGCCCGTTTTTCTCAACACTAGAACAACTTTTTGAAAACTTTTCAGTGTCGCTCGAAGCATGACTAAAAGGGCTTTAGTATGGCATATCACACGAGCAAACTCGATGATTACTTTTGGTATTTGACTTTCTATGGAAAGAAATGAAATACACACGAATACAAATTCCTCGCCATTTTCAAAAGTCGGAACAAAACAATTGTTCTCAAAAAAATTTCATTTTTGGTATTTATATTTTTATACAAGCAACCAATTTAAAAATCAGGCTCAAACTGATCATGAATTTAAACAATGAAAGCCTGTTCCTGTGCAATTAGCACAGAGTATTCTGACCTCATCTTTAAAAATTTACAAAAAAATCTATTTTATTTCTAATAACTTCAGTTTTTTTTCTATGCAAGGTGTAATGGAAAGATCTGAACAAAAGACTAGGTTTTAGACATATCTAATACTTCATAGTCAAAAACGCGTTTTAAAAAACAGTTTTTTTGAAAGATTATTTAAAAAAGTCAAAAGTTTGAATACATTTTTTCAGAAATTTTTTTTGAAATTTTGAAGTTTTTATTCTAAAATGGCGCTAAGAAATATTGGAGTGCTTAAAAATCATGGCTTATTTATTACTAATCTGCTACTAGACTACTACTTTCAGCCTGCTCGCTTGCTTTACTTGCTCGAAATTAGACAATCAAAATTTTGAAACGGTTTTTTCTCGACACTAGGAAGTTTTTTTGCGAAATTTCCAAATGTTGTTTGAGTCACAACTGAAAAACTCCTATTAAGATATATTATTCAACCCAGTCCGATGATTATTTGTGGCACTTAAAAAAAGAAAAAATTAAAATACACCCGAACACACCCTCTTGCCCATTTTTGATGGTCGGAACATTAAAAACTAGACAGTTGAGGCTGAAGTGCGGCCATTTATTGATTTTTGTTTTTTAAAATGTTCCGCGTTTCTATTTCCCTTGGGCACTTTAATTACAGCTTCTATCGGAAAAAACAACTTTAAACTCTTTCAATTAGGCTGCTGCGAAAAAAGCGCTTGCGATCCGCCACATTTTTTCACGTCCCACATATCAAGAGGAATCCGCAACTTTTCAATATTGTTTTTGATTGGCATTTTGTTCGCAAACTAAACCTGAATATCATTCGGAGTCCAAACCAAAATTAAAAATTTTTAATATGATTCTGTAATTACTCCCCTAAGAGCCTTTTCGTAGTAAATGGTTGCGCTTGAAGGCAAACTACCTGGGGAAATACGCCTTCCCATCCCTCGGTGGTAGTTGGAACAAGAAGCGTCACGAATGGAACGAATATTTTCAATTCAATCATTAAATTATGTCCGTTATCTTTTTTTGATTCTTTTTAAAGATCTTTTTCAAGGATAAGGTATGTATAAAAGGTCACCTAAAAATTATAGGTTATCTAATTGCGAATGTGTCAAAGTTTTGTGGTGATTTTCAAAAATAAAACAGATACTTATTGTTTTCTTTCCGTTTCGGAAAAATGTATGAACGCATTATTAGGAACTCCTCTGATTCCATTTTTGATGCTACTGTATAAGTATCAAATTCGCGTGAATGAAATGTATACTACCATTTTGTGGCACCATAAAAGCTAGTAAAGCAACGGAACCATTCATCAAATATTCTGTGACAGCGCTCTGGAAACCCTTCAATCTTTAAAGAGGTCGATTGTTAAATCGATGCCTGAATAAGTATTACATACTTAGAAGTACATGGAAAGTATATAAAAAGATTGAAACCCCCAAGCGGTCGGATCATTTTTCATCTTCAACCATTTAGGTTTTCCATCCATTAATATGCCGGTTTCGATGTGCTCTTAAGTTTTTGCATGTCATATTTGAATTAAGTTTTTGTAGACTAAAAAGTATTTTTCCCCGAGTTTCAATCAACTTTTGCGTCATTCGATTGCACTGGGTATTCAAAATATAGATCGAGGGTTGGTCGGCGGTGTCAGGACTGTGCTTGAAAACAATAATGGCACAAAAGCGAAAGCTTAATTAGGCTCCCAAAGGATGAATTCATGAAACTTTATTCAGTTCAAACAATTACTTTTTTAATGATGCATAAGGCTTTTTGGAAATTGAATATTGATTTCATTCGAATAGGCATTGGCAAATAGTTGCATATACACTTCCATGGATGCAAAACAGGTCACTAAGACCTTTCTGGTAGTTCTATACGTTGGCTCATGGAAGAAACTGCGTTTCCAATTAAAAAATATAGGAATTCATGAATATTTTTAGTTTCAGTTTAAACCTCCTTGAATGAGTTGAATAACATTCTCGCCTTTTTGAAAATGTTTGCGCAAAACTTCAATTAAAAATGTAAATTTTATGAATTTTGTTACTAGGGACCTTCAGATAAAAATAAGTTAGGGTCTCGGTAAGTTTTGACGACTATGATGATTCAAAAGTTCTAAATTAAGGAAATCCAGTGGAGGTTTTATCGAATTTGCAGAAAAAATCCCTCATAAAATTGGCAATAATATAACGGTTCATGGACAGCATATAACTGAAATTTTTGAACACACAAATTAACAGTTCAAATTACCCTTTTTGAAAACATTTGAATACATTGAACACATTAAAACAAATAAATATCCATCTTGAACTCTGGTCAATTATTTCAAACTAGAGTTTTCACTTTTGTTTTTTGGTATATGTTTTCGGTATGTTGCTATTTAAGGTCGGTTTGACGCAATTGAACCAGTAATCAATTTTTCTTATCACCAGTTGTATGTCATGTTGAAAGGGCACAAGCAAGCTAGCCATCTAACGTATGCTATATCATCTGCAATTTGTATTAAATTAGAGCTGTTCTTAGATCTTATCGAATAATTTATATAAAGTAAGAGAATAAGTGGTCCCAAAATAGTCCCTGGGACACTT